AACAATGGCTTTGTAATACAACTTGATATCTGGTATTGAGATCCCACCTACTTTGTCCTTCTTTCTCAGGATTGCTGCAGCTATTCGAGGTCTTTTTTTTTTATTCCAGATGAGTTTTTGGAAAGTTCATTCTACATCTGTTAAAGATGCCGTTGGTATTTTAATGGGGATTGCATTGAATCTGTAGATTGTTTTGGGTAGTATGGACATTTTGATGATGGGGATTCTACCAATCCATAAACAAGGTATGTTCTTCCATCTGTTTAGGTCTTCCTCTATCTCTTTTTTCAGTGTCCTGTAGTTTTCGGCTTATAGGTCTTTTACCTCCATAGTTATATTTATTCCTAGGTATCTTAATTTTTTAGGTGTGATGGTAAATGGGATTGCTTTTTTAGTCTCTCTTTCTGCAGTTCACTACTGCTATATAGAAATGCCATAGATTACTTGGCGTTAATTTTCTATCCTGCTACATTGCCGAATTCATTTATTAAATCTAATAGTTTTTTGATGGAGTCTTTAGGGTTTTTTATGTACAATATCATATCATCTGCAAATAAGGACAGTTTTACTTCTTCTTTTCCAATTTGGATGCCCTTTATTTCTTATCTTCTCTAATCGTAATTGCTAATACTTCCATCATTTTTTCAAATAAATTTTCAGCCCTTACTGGTTTTGCTCAGTGGTTAGAGCATCAGCCCACAAACCAAAGGATCACATGTTCGATTCCCGGTCAAGGGCACATACCTAGATTGCAGGCTCAATCCTCAGCCCTAGTCAGGATGTGTGCAGGAGCCAACCAATCAATATGTTTTTCTCACATCAGTGTTCCTCCCTCTCTCTCTCTCTCGTTCTCTCTCTCTCTCTCTCTCTCTCTCTCGTCTTCCTGTCCTTCAGCTCTTCCCCCTCCTGCCTTCTTTCCACTCTCTAAAAAATCAATGGAAAAAATATCCTTGGTGAGGGTTAAAAGTATATATATATTTGCAATTGCTTGCTCTCTTATCCTTCCCACACCCCTATGATGTGAATGTTGGTACACTTGAGGTTGAACCAAAGGCTCTTACAATCTCCTCATTTTTTGGATTCTTTTTTTCTTTTTGCTGTTCTAATAGGATGTTTTCTGATTTATATCTCCCAAATATCTAATTTGATCCTCTGCTTCATCTACTCTACTGTTGATTTTCTTTAATGTATTCTTCATTTCAGGTATTGTATTCTTCATTTCTAACTGGTTCTTTTTTATGCTTTCTATCTTCATTTTCATGTTTCCTAGCTCTTT